TTTTTTTCCGTGTAGCAGATACATAGCAATACATATAATTTATGTATGAAATACATGTTTAATACCGATAAATGTCCGCGTTATGGATACGTAATTTACGTTACATATCAGATACACAAGAATACTTCCAAAGTGTTTGATAGACCAAAATGTTAATACGATCCTCCAGCTAATGCAACTATTTCAGTAGTTTCCTTAGGTGTTTTTAAAAGCACTCTTGCATTCTTTGGTGAAGTTTTGAATTGTGGATGTAGAGCATGCCTCAAAATTTCCATAAGAGCATTAATAGCATTATGCCCAATTTTAAACTCAAAAGACCAATTTCGAAGATTGCACAACAATTCATTATCCATCACATCATCCATACTTTTATCATCAATGTCCATATTATCACCTACATCGTCACTCGAATCGTCAGAGTTTAATGATAAAGGTTGCATTTCTTCTCGTTGAATAAAATCTTTGTCGTCTGTGACTACTTCTATGTTATGTACTTCTTCCGAACATTCTTCTTCATTATTATTGTCACTAAAGTTTGGCAATTGATTATTACTAGGAAAAGATGATGTTGAAACTGATGATAATTGGTCATTTTCAATTCGACATTTTTTTATGCATTCGCCCAATGTACGTCCAAAATCAGTCACACCACTGCTTGACGATTCTAGCAAGAAATAATCTATTTCCGTTTCTTTTTGTGCTAATCGTCTCTTATGCCGCGAAGAAATATCACAGTTACTTATTTTTTTATCCATTATATGGAAAATTATTTATTATGTAACCTAGAAAAATAACACAATCATAATCAAATACTCATTAATATTACAGTTACAACCGTATGGAAATTCTAATCATTACAAAATATAAAAACTTACCTTTGATTCACTAATTTTATTTTTCACTAAATTATATAATCAAAACTTATAATAATTTTAACATATGATCACCGCGATTATAATACAGAAACGTCCCCGACTTTCCGTTTATCAGGTTTTTATAGGTTAATGGTGCTACTACGATGCACCATCTTATAATATATTCTTATACATTTTGTCCAATATGTATCAACTACGTGTTTGATACATAAATATTTATATAATATGCGCAGTATACCTGCTATGTATTACATACGTATTTTCACTTGGATATACCAAACATATTGCATTAATTACGTATTTAACACGTTATATTTCATATACATATAATAAAATTTCATGTAAATGAAATATTATTACGTATTTAATATACATATATAATTGCAATGAAAGGTGCTGTATGGGAAGCTTCGAAGATTTCGAAGAAACGAAGAAACTTCGCATATCAAATTTTCGAGGTTTTCAAATTTTTCGAAGATTCGAAGTTTCAAAGCTTTGAAGTTGTGAATTTTCGAAATTTCGAATATTCGAAGTCAACTAATGCATTAACGTATAAGTTTTCAAAGACCGACCTGATTTGTCATCTGTATTGGCGACTGAGGGTAGACTATCGAACTTATATAGATACAGTGAATGGAATGCAAGGAGTGAAAAACTTTTATACCCGGATTATACACTAATATTATGAACTTTATTTGTAAGACATAAATCAAAAGATTGCGATTCAACGATCAACTAACATTTCGTATATTCATTTAATTACACTACTGTCCCTATCTTCTATTCTCGTGTTTCGAATCAAGGCAGTCGGTCACAATGAATACATCTATAGTCGTTCTCAACGGTCTCTCGAGGATGAATTCGCGATGACGATGAATTGTATCTTTATGAGCGAATGGATAAATATGTGTCCGACAAAGAGTACGTTTGTTTTTTCTACTTTGCGTAATGACATTAATTAGTTGGCATTTAATTAGTTTACAGCTATAATAAAAACCGATTAATTTTACAAAATTTGTTATTGTTTTTTATCTTTTTAGTACATTAGTTGACTTCGAAACATCGACAATTCGAAGCTTCGAAATTTAAAATCTTCGAAGAAAAATCCCAGCTCTACTTCAAACGCTTTATAATTAAAACTTCATGTCGCGCTAAGATTGTACTACAACCGGCGAGGAGCCAACGAGGCTGCAGATTCTGTACTCACCTATGGTCGTGTAAATGGTGCCACAGTAAAACACGGCGTTCCAAAATGACCACACTCGCTCGCCTTTGTCCATCAGTCCCCGGCCGAAATAATCGTACAGATCTTGCTCGTACCGCGTCAGCTCGTTCACCGCTGCTCCTCTCCAACGGGACACGTCTGACGCCAGTACCGAGTCGTCGCAAAGTTCGCGAATCGTATTGAGCGTCTCGTTTCTACAATCGATGGAGAACATTTACGATAACTCGTACTTGACGCAAATATTGGA